TTCGCAACATGGTCGGGCATTGTCATGCTGCAAAATCACTTTATCGTGTCTCTCGTTGTATTGCGGCCGTTTGTCTTTTAATGCTCGGCTCAAACGCATCAATTGCATTCGATACCGATCGCCTGTGATTGTTTCAGTCGGTTTTAATAGTTCATAATACACTACGCCGAGCTGATCCACCAAATACAGAGCATGACCTTGGAGCCGTGAATATTCGGTTTGGCCGTCGACGTGGAAGAAATCATGGCCGGGAACTCCCCATAATTTTCTGCGCTTGGGATTATCGTAATGAATCCATTTTTCGTCCCCAGTCACAATGCGATGCAGAAATCCCTTCCGTCTTTGCCTTTCAAGCAGCTCACAAGCAAACGCCGTTCAACATCTCTCGGCTTCAATTCGTACGGCACTCAATTTCCTTGCTTCTGAATCATTCCCATGGCTTTGAGGCGTTTTGAAATGGCTTGTTGAGTCACTCCCAATGATCGTGCCAATTCTTCTTGATTTTGACACGAGTCTTGCTCAAGTAATGCCTCCAATTCTGCATCTTCGAAAACCTTCTCTCTTCCACCGCTATGCCGATCTTCGACGTCAAAATCACCGTTCTTGAAGAGTTGAAACCACTCACGACACGTTCTTTCACTAATAGCGGCCTCACCATAAGTATTTGAGAGCATTCGATGAGCCTCAGTCGCAGATTTCTTCATATTGAAGCAAAAAATTAAAACCTCCCGCAAATGACGAGAATTTGGCTCGTAAACTGACATTTTCAATCGAGAATAACTTTATAATGCAGACACAAATCGAGTAATGTTTCTATGGGGTTATGTTGACAGATGCTCAAGTTTATTGTATGACGTCTATGATCTATTTATTTCGACCACCACTTACCGCTAAAGCCATCTATAGGAAAACGGCGGAAGCAAAGTTGTACACTTAATATCTTAGATTTTTACGTGGAATTACATTAGTCGAGTACTACTATTATAGCATTTTGTGCCATAATAGTAGTACAATAGTACACAATCTAATATATAAATTGTAGGGACAGAGTGTCTCAGAATATTTGTGACTATTTTGGGATTATACAGGATATCTCAAAATATTTATTATTTTTATGTGCAGATAGAGTGGACTAAACTGAACAGAAAGTTCCTCTACCACTTTGCAATTTTTGCAATTACCCAATGAACAGAATATCCAAAATCGACGCATTAGACAACTTTAAAGGTTCTTTGAAAAACATCTTTAAAATATGTCACAAAAAACTCTGAAAAATATCTTAAAGTTGTCTTATACGTCGATTTTATCCGCTTATTCGACAATTTTTAGAAACTAACTATTGTGAAAATTACAAAAACAGTATGAGGACTTTTTGACTCAGTTTAATCTTTATATGCACACGAAAATAATCCTAAACACGGACATCCTGTATATTATTTAGGATTGCATCAATGTGCACATTATTCTTTTTTCCATGCGATCTTATAGGAGCCTCTTTTCAAGGACCGAATGCCATAGATTCCTGTGTAAAACTTTGTAGAAATATTTTCTATTTTATCCTATATATACATGCTGTATAAATCCTATAGACTCTATTATAAGAAATTTAGAGGAAATAGGCACAACACAGAAGCTATTAGCATCAGGGCTGTGTGGCTCAGTGGTAGGATGGAAGTCTATCAACTCGGAAGAAAGACCAGGCCAGGCTTCGAACAAGATACTTTTCTCTGTTGTCATTTATTGTGTATAAGCATCTACAGAGACTATGTTTCAAAATTCATTGTCAGTATTGAAAATCTATAGTGCACATAACGAAAACTATAAATTTTCAGTACTTCAAAGCGAAAAATTTCTGTTTTACATGATGGAAAAGAGATATGATATTCATTATTTCTTAATTTTTTTTTTATTTATATTAGGTGTACAACTTTGCTTCCGCCGTTTTTTTTCCGAAATTCTTTATTGTAAAAAACTGGTTATACATTTATGATTCAAAGTATTGTCCATCGCTGGCCATTACTTTCTCCCATCTTTCGGGTAGCGTACGAATCCCACGTCGAAAAAACTAGTCATCTTTTGAGGCTATCCACGAATCGATCCAATTTTTTACTTCTTCATAAGACCGGAAGTGCTGGTCAGCCAGGCCGTGTGTTCGATCATTGATCGAAACAAGTGATAGTCAGAGGGAGCAATGTTTAGAGAATACGGCGGGTGGGGTAGGACTTCCCTTTCAACGTTTCCAAGTATGTCTTGACCACTTTCGCAACATGGGGTGGAGCATTGTCATGCTGCAAAATCACTTTATCGTGTCTCTCGTTGTATTGCGACCGTTTGTCTTTCAATGCTCGGCTCAAACGCATCAATTGCGTTCGATACCGATCGCCTGTGATTGTTTCAGTCGTTTAACAGTTCATAATACACTACGCCGAGCTGGTCCCACCAAATACAGAGCATGACCTTGGACGTCAAAATCACCGTTCTTGAAGCGTTTAAACCACTCACGACACGTTCTTTCACTAATAGCAGCCTCACCATAAGTATTTGAGAGCATTCGATGAGCCTCAGCCGCAGATTTCTTCATATTGAAGCAAAAAATTAAACCTCCCACAAATGACGAGAATTTGGCTCGTAAACTAACATTTTCGATCGAGAATAACTTTATGATGCAGACACAAATCGACTAATGTTTTTATGGGGTTATGTTGACATATGCCCAAGTTTATTGTACGTCTATGATCTATTTATTTCGACCACCACTTACCGCTAAAGCCATCTATAGAAAAACGGCGGAAGTTGTATACCTAATAACTTTTTAACGAGTTAAAATTTTCTTAAAGTCATTCATGATCATGACCTTGACAATATATGTCAAGGTCAAGATCATTGGGGGAGTCCCCTATACTATATATTTATCAATTTTTTAAATATATATTATTTTAAAAAATCAAATTCTATTGTATCCAAGCCATTGCAATAAACGAAAATCAGACTCAAAATCAGAGAGGTAGTTTTCACTTCTCGACCACGCCTGAACGCAAAGAAGAAGAAGCCATGTAACCTCGTATAGAAGCAACGTAACGAATGCTAAATTAACATTTACCTTCTCCTTTTACTTTGCATTCTTTGCAGAGTGGATCTATATATTAGAAAAAAAGTGCTTTTTCACTCTATTGGAGCGATTTCACTACATTTTATGAAGCATAACTTAATGCCTAATTATAGTGATGGTAATGGATCACTCGAAATATACAGGCTAAATTTTGGATTTTAGTTGCACTTGGATTTCACTCGTTTTGAGAAATCTCACTTTTTCAGTTTTAGAGAGTAAATTTTCGCACATAGCAAGAATAGAGCAGTCTTTTGTTTTGAATGAAAACGCGTCAAATAAGCATAATTTCATTGAAATGAGGAACGTCTTTAAATAATTACCTAAATAGCTTATACGAGAAATCGAATAACAGATGAATTGTTATTCGATAATAATAAATTGTTTATACACATGCGATTATAGCTCAGGGTTAGCATCTAAGGTTACCACTCCACAGGTCTTAGAATCTAACCTTGCTGAAACCTCGTGCGTTTTTAGAAATATGTACATGCGTATAAATGTTCGGTGTATATTACTCATGATGAATATATAACGTAAATATGAGAAAAAAAAAGGCTTTGATTTTTTTATTTCTTATATTTGAATCATATTTGCATTTTGGTATCTAGGTATTAATTGACAAATGGAATCCCTATTGGAAATTGTTGAAGACTATACATTACTTTACATAGAAAACAATTATGGTTGAAGATTTATCGATTCAAAACATTCATTAAAAACTATAGAAAAACTATAGAAAACTTCTATAATAAATTTTAGTTTTCTATAATAAATTTTAAGCAGGATATATAAGTTAAAATTAAATATTGCAGATTATTATACAAATAAATTAAAATGTTTTGTAGTTAAAGGTTAAAATAAGTATTTTTACATAGAGTAACTCCGGTATATACCATATCTATCAAAAACTTAATTTATTAAGTATTATTTACTGTATTTAAAGTAACGAACTATTAGTAAAACTTTGTTTATTATTATGAAAAAAAATTAGAAATCCAAAATATTTATATTTCATCACAGATATATTAAAAAATGAATTTTTTAAACCCTTGCATTTTTACCATATATCCCATAGAGATGGGATATGGCTATTCATAGGGGGAGGGGGGAAGATATGTCTCATAAGACATTTTCAAATAATATATAAATAAGACGTAAAATTACACAATAACTTATAAAATGTTTTTAAAGGTTTATTAAGGAATAAGAATGATAAATATATATATGAAGTAATAAATAATAATTACAATCTTCCAGGATATATTACAAGTGTTATGATATGAGGTACATATTTCATGTAATGCGTTTATTGTATTTAGTGCACTGAATTCAATCTGCGCACTTTGTATGCTTTAGGCATAAATCCCGCCTGTTAAAAATACCATATACTCAAACAGATGGGATATACAATAAAGACAATAAATTAAACAAAAAATACAAGAGCAAACTTATATTTTGTTATACAACATATTTTACTATTCCTCTACACTCATGTATTACGAAATAACCACTAAGTCTTTTGCACGATCTACAGTAATCATTTTATTAGATTATGATTTATAATGGCGCTATTTAACAGTAACAAATCGATTCAACTCACAATAATTTCATTAATATTAACAGTAAGAAATCATAATACAATACTAATATATTAATATAACATAAAGGCAACACTGTAACAGAGTAGTTGCGGGCAAATTACCTCCACTTCTTCTATTTTTTCTGACTTTTGCGGCGTAAATCTCACCGCAGCGTATTTGCCGGAGTTACTCTAAAAGATAAATGTTGTAATAAAATAAGCCTTTCGCTCTAAAAATTATTTTAAAATTTCATAAAGTTGCTTTTTATTATAATGTACGTGCATAAAATTTAAAGATACTTTTTTTTACAGATTACAATAAATGTCCTTAAAAACCGATACGTTCTTAGTTCTTTCTTTGCATGCTTTTTTGCGTTCCTGGCTCAACAATTAAGCGGCGTTAATATTATGATTTTCTACGCTTTAACACTCTTCAATGTTGGTGGATCAGGTGATTTAACTGGAAGCGAACAAACCGTCCTTATTGGTGGAGTACAAATATTGTCTTGTTTCCTAGCGATGTGTCTAATAGACGTAGTCGGACGGCGAATATTGCTAATTGTATCTTCGGTACTTATGGGATTATTCCTTATACTGTTAGGTAAACGATTTTTTATAATGGTAATGTCTGTCAAATAATATGCATGTCTAACTCTTTTAATCTTTCAGTATTCTATAATTTGTTACATACATACCTGAATATATTGTGAAAAATATCGCATAAAAATTAATTATTACATTTTTTTTTAATGCAAACATTAAGAAATATAAACATAAACCATAAGATAAAAAGGTAAACTTTTACATTAGGGGATCATCTTCGATGATCTTGAATAACCTGTAACAGGTTTTAGCAGTGGTCGCCATTCGTTAAAAAATTATTAACAAAATAAGTTTAAAAAAATAACGTCTCTTTTCTACCTTTCTATAGAACAAAATATATAGAACAAAAATTTTCTGTTTTAAAATATTGGAAACAAATTAATTCGGTCCGTTTTTTTTGTGCATTTATTTCAAAACAAAATGAATGAACAAATCAATTAAAGTATTGTCCATAGTTGCCTACTACTTTTTCCCATCTCTCAGGCAATTTTCGAATTCCATTTCGAAATAATGACTCGTCTTTGGAGGCGATTCAATTTTGGAGCCAATTTTCGATTTCTGCGAAAGAAGTGAACCGGTGACTTGCTGCATCCTTCGGAACAACCAGTAATCAGAAAAAGCAATGTCCGGAGAATATGGGAGGTGCGGTAAAACATCCCATTTGAACGGTTCCAAATTGGCTGAGCGTTGTCATAAAGAAGAATAATTTTATCATGTCTTTGCCCGTATTCCAGCCGTTTTTCTCGCAATACACGGCTCAAACGATGCACGGATCAATCAATCGTAGCCGATACTGATCGCCCGTAATGGAATCGCCAGGTTTCAGCAACTCATAATAAATAAGACCCTTTTGATCTCAGGGCATGATCTTCGAATCATGAATGTTCGGCCGTGGTGTTGATGTTGAGGTCGATGGCAACAATTGATCGGGTTTAGCATAGTATTTTTTCTTCTTGGGGTTGTCGTAGAATATCCATTTCTTATCTCCAGTCACAATCCAATGCAAAAAGCCTTTTCTATGTTGTCTTTGAATCAGTCGTTCGCAAATGAAAAATCGCCTTTTAATGTCTCTCGGTTTCAGTTCATAAGGCACTCAATTTCCTTGTTTTTGAATCATTCCCAGAAACGGCTTGTTGAGTTACTCCCCCAATGATTCTGCAAGCTCCTCTTGCGTTTGACTCTGATCTTCTTCGAGTAATGCCTCTAATTCTTTGTCTTCGAATTTTTTTGGCTGTCCAGAACGAGGCTTGTCTTCAACGCTGAAATCTCCATCTTTGAAACGTCGAAACCATTCCCTATTTATCAGTTGGAGCAGTGTCACCATAAACTTCGACAAGCATTCGACGGGCTTCACTTTTCTTCCAATTAAAGCAAAAAATCAAAACCTCCCGTAAATGCTGCTTGGTTAACACAAAATTTGACATTTCAAACATAGTAAAAATCAAGGTTTTTTTATGAAACTCAAAGCGATATAAACTGAATATTATTAGCAGATGTATAACCTCTCTGAAACCGCCAAAATCAGCTGTCACATTCACAACAGCTCAAGCAATCTTTAGGGAAATGGACCGATTTGTACTCCCAATAGATTTCCTGCTTTAAAAATAAAAATTTTCTTTGAATACGTTTTCTCATAATTTTTGTTATTATTAATAGTTATTATATAATTATCATATAGCGCTTAAGAGCGCATGACTTTCTACGCGAAGCGACTTTCATCCCACTTCTCCTCTGCCAAGGGACACGATTTTCCACACAAAACAAGTTTTATTATATTTTATTAAAATAGAGATATGGATAATATTTTGCTATAATATTAGGTGTACAATTTTGCTTCCGCCGTTTTTTTTCCGAAATTCTTTATTGTAAAAAACTGGTTATACATTTATGATTCAAAGTATTGTCCATCGCTGGCCACTACTTTCTCCCATCTTTCGGGTAGCGTACGAATCCCGCGTCGAAAAAACTGATCATCTTTTGAGGCTATCCACGAATCGATCCAATTTTTTACTTCTTCATAAGACCGGAAGTGCTGGTCAGCCAGGCCGTGTGCCATTGATCGAAACAAGTGATAGTCAGAGGGAGCAACGTCTGAAGAATACGGCGGGTGGGGTAGGACTTCCCATTTCAACGTTTCCAAATATGTCTTGATCACTTTCGCAACATGGTCGGGCATTGTCATGCTGCAAAATCACTTTATCGTGTCTCTCGTTGTATTGCGGTCGTTTGTCTTTCAATGCTCGGCTCAAACGCATCAATTGCATTCGATACCGATCGCCTGTGATTGTTCCAGTCGGTTTTAACAGTTCATAATACACTTCGCCGAGCTGGTCTCACCAAATACAAAGCATGACCTTGGAGCCGTGAATATTCGGTTTGGCCGTCGACGTGGAAGAAATCATGGCCGGGAACTCCCCATAATTTTCTGCGCTTGAGATTATCGTAATGAATCCATTTTTCGTCCCCAGTCACAATGCGATGCAGAAATCCCTTCCGTCTTTGCCTTTCAAGCAGCTGTTCACAAGCAAACAAACGCCGTTCAACATTTCTCGGCTTCAATTCGTACGGCACCCAATTTCCTTGCTTCTGAATCATTCCCATGGCTTTGAGGCGTTTTGAAATGGCTTGTTGAATTACTCCCAATGATCGTGCCAATTCTTCTTGATTTTGACACGAGTCTTGCTCAAGTAATGCCTCCAATTCTGCATCTTCGAAAACCTTCTCTCTTCAACCGCTATGCCGGTCTTTGACATCAAAATCACCGTTCTTGAAGCATTGAAATCACTCACGACACGTTCTTTCACTAATAGCGGCCTCACCATAAGTATTTGAGACCATTCGATGAGCCTCAGCTGCAGATTTCTTCATATTGAAGCAAAAAATTAAAACCTCTCGCAAATGACGAGAATTTGGCTCGTAAACTGACATTTTCAATCGAGAATAACTTTATGATACAGACACAAATCGACTAATGTTTCTATGGGGGTATGTTGACAGATGTCCAAGTTTATTGTATGACGTCTGTGATCTATTTATTTCGACCACCACTTACCGCTAAAACCATCTATAGGAAAACGGCGGAAGCAAAGTTGTACACCTAATATTAAAAATTACATTTATATGTTCTTTAAAGGAAATTTTTTTAAAGCAGGAAAAATCTGTTAAACCTAATCTTAAAGCAAATCTAAGTAAAGCAGAAAATTTTTGTTCTATATATAGTAGGAAAGAGACGTTATTTTTTTAAACTTCTTTTAATACCTTTTTAACGAATAGTAATTATAATAGCTAAAAACTTATTGGAGGTTATTCAGAGTTATAATCTTGACAACATATATCATGATCAAGATATTGAAAAGGTATCCCTTAATGTAAAAAAAAAAGTTTATCAATGTTAACATAAAGCGCTACACATATTATTGATGTCAGGAACTAATTAAATGTGCGCGAAATTAACTAATATATCTTTAAAAATTCATTCAAAGTGTAATGTTATAAGAATTACCTTATGGTTTTTATAATAGATAGTAAATAGCATTAGATTTCATGAAAAAAAATGCGGACACATTTAACTTCAACTGAATGAAAAGTAGTTTTTGAAGTTAAATGTGTCCGCAGACATTGTTGTTTAATCATTATGTTATAATTCTTTTATTGCATAAATTTAGGAATAAACATAGAAATGTTTAAAAATTTATCAAATCTTACAAATGATCCCGAATAGATTTATTTGTTTTAAGTATTAAAATAAAGTATAAAATAGTATACATATTTTTATGCAAAAAGTGTTACAATTCATAATTTAATTGTTTTTTATTGCTAAATGTTTAATTTTCATTAATTTATTTTAATTATTTATTTTAATTATCATTGATTTTTAACTATCATTAATTTTTAATAAACTTGAATATGTTAACATTGCATCCAGTATTAGACCCTAGAACTAGATGGGGATCATCAATTATAATTTCATTATACATATTACGATATTTTTACTATTGTTATGGGATGTAATAATGCCACCAAAAAGGGTAAAGCATTTGATAAATTGATCCGCAATTAGTCCTTGCTAACGTTAAATATTAACAGAAAGTTCGATTTATTCGTATTATTACCAATGTATCGAATGTTTCGGAATAGTAAAAGAATCGTCGCAGAATGTGCAAATGTCGATGTTAATATTCAGAATATTATGTGAATACTCATTATATATTTTACGAAAATCGTGACCGAGCGATCACACATTTCTCTCGATAGAGGACCGCGACGAGTAAAGAGCATTTACTCATAAACAAGAATTACCTGGAAAAGAAGGAATATAAGAAGCGCACTTCGTCTGTGAAATGAGCTTCAAGACAAAAATATATTAAATGTATTTTTCAAAGTAAGATTTTGTTTAAAAATTGATTTACAGACGATCTGATCTGAAATTTTTGGAAAAATTAAAATTTTGCGAAATATATATGGAACATTCTTGAAATATGTAACAATAGATAAATGAAATTTTTAACTGACATTTGAATGTTTCTTTTACATAAACATTATGTAAATATTCTGAATATTTTGAAGTATTCTTGGAACGTTTTTTGAGGATTTTAGGAACATTTTATGAATATTTCAACTTTCCAAAAATATTTGGCATTTGTTGGGACATGGGATTTAATTATGGATTATTATTACTTTATTTAATTCAAATTAAAATATATAAAACAATAATGAAATAGAATAAAATTATCCAAAACCTATATATATATATATATGTATGATCAAGCATGATTGTTAACTATCTTATTACCAGGTATGTAACTATGAAACCGGAATTTACCAATAGATGGCCATAGCTGTCAATGTAGTTGCCGTCAGACGGCGCCATTGATGCCATTTCCTTGTTCTGATATCTGACAAAGATTTTCAACTCACAACAATATAAGTTTCATACAACAGTATAGTTTGTAATAGTGTTGAACATGTCAAATTTTGTGCCTGGAAACTACGATTTGC